GTTTCCTCACACCAGTGATTGCTGGTTCACTTGTTTCTGTGGCTATTGTGTCCCTTGTTTACCTAGTGATGAGTTAATGCTAGTGGGTATGGTTGATACTGGTGGACTGGTGGGCACTGGTGGGATGAGGGCTGGTGAGTGCTGTAGTGTCTACCTGGGATTTAAGCCACGGCATATCACAACCAGGTTTGATCTCCAAGCTTTTCCCTGTGTTAATCTACAAGTGCTCATCAGCTTCTTGTGTTATTGGTGTTTGCTATGTGTATCAGTGTTAGCTGTATTTGCTAGTGTGCACTTGTCACTCTAGAACAGAGCATAATAATAAAAACAATCATTATTTGAATTTTAAACTAGAAATTAAAATTCAAAATTTACATGTAAAAGATTGTTCCTGATTTCCTGTTTGAAGGAGCTGCTTGATACTACAGATTGTTCTATGGAGGAGCTTGCTTGATACTACAGATTGTTCTATGGAGGAGAGTGCTTGATACTACAGATTGTTCTATTGAGGAGCTGCTTGATACTACAGATTGTTCTATGGAGGAGCTGCTTGATACTACAGATTGTTCTATGGAGGAGCTGCTTGATACTACAGATTGTTCTATGGAGGAGCTGCTTGATACTACAGATTGTTCTATGGAGGAGAGTGCTTGATACTACAGATTGTTCAATGGAGGAGCTGCTTGATACTACAGATTGTTCTATGGAGGAGAGTGCTTGATACTACAGATTGTTCTATTGAGGAGCTGCTTGATACTACAGATTGTTCTATGGAGGAGCTGCTTGATACTACAGATTGTTCTATGGAGGAGCTTGCTTGAAAATGAACATCATCATATACAATCTACAGCTTCTTTTGAGAGAAAGAGAAGTTCTTTTTTAGAGAGGAAGAGATTCTTTTTAGAGAGTGGACATTAAAATGTATTAATTTGAAGCACTTGTAATGAGCCTGTATTTGCATTGTACATGTACCTAAAACTCAGCTTTTAATTTAAAAACCACAATGATTAAACCTATTAACAATATCTGCATGAAACTATCACCAGCCTTTAATCTACTGTATCAGTTCTTTGTTCCTGCTTGAGGAAAGATAGAGAGTTCAACTGAGAGATTTGTGTGATCATTCATTGAGAGAGAGGGAGAGGGAGGGGGAAGCTTGGCAGAAGACTTCGACTTCTCTTCATATTTTCAAGATAATTTTTGGAGGTATCACTCATCATCTTACAACAATTTAGTTCTTCACTTCACATCCAGCATATCAAAAACATTTGGACTACTTCTACAAGAACAACACATCATCCAGTAACTATACAACCTGTCTACTTATAGGAATCACCAGCTCTACACTACAACACTCTTCATAAATCAAGCTATTCTCCATCATTACTGATTCAGTAGCTCTACAACCTGTCTACTTCACCAGGTTTACACTACACCATTCTTCAATCATTTCCTTCGGTAATTCTTCATTCTCCAGTTGACCTGCTTCAACAATCAGTTCTTTATTCTCTGCTTGTGCTAACAAGAGAAGGAGCTACTGAATCATAAACTGAACTTTCTTCTCTCTTCTCCTCCTCCTCCTTTCTTTCTTTTCTTTATTCCTCTTTTCTTCAGTAATTCCCCTCTTATTTCTAATACTCCAATGCTACCTTTCCTCTTAAATAGTTAGTACTTGTACTCATAATTAATAATAGTACATGTAATTAAATACTATAATTAAATAATAAGTACATGTAATTAACTAATAATAGTACATGTACAATTAAATAGTATAGTACATGTACTTCAATATAATTATATTGTTGCTTCCTTCCTCTAGCTATAGCTCCTCGGGCCTATTGAAGACATTAGCCTTTAAGAGAGAGGGAGGGAGGGAGAGAGAGTGAGGGACAGCTAGTAGGGGATTCAAAAAGGAAAGCCTGAAGACAAGAGCATCTTAGAGAGAGAGAGAGAGGGAGAGAGAGAGGAGGAGCTAATGAACAGCAGTATCACTATATCATGAGTTGGTTATTGAGAGAGGAGAGGGAGGGAAGGAGTGTATTTGGGAGATTAACATGCTAACTTGTTTTATATTTGATTCATGGGAGCTGTAAAGGTAGTGGGTTTCAAGTCCTCGTGAAGTCTTTGATTTTTAAAGTCTTTGATGTCTTTGTGAAGTCTTTGATGTCCTTGTACAAGTCCAAATAGGATCAGATTATGGTAGAGTTGGGTACTCTTGTGTGTTAGAGTATAGCAATAAGTCAATAGCTCTCATTGTAGGTTTATGATCAAACGTAATGTTACAATTACGTGTGTGATCTTGACATTTTGATGCAAATAACGCGTTAAGTTGACACAATTTTAGCGAAATCTCAATTCTGTGTTGCATTTCATGACGAGTGTCTATTGTTAATTTATGGATGCACAATTAATTCTTAATTAAATAATTATTTTTGATTGATGTACATATTGTGTGGTAAATTGTGTATTAAGATTACTCTTATGTTAAGGCTGTAGAGATTACAATATCAGACAGTAATGGTAGGAGGTAGTAATAGGTCATTAGATAATGGTACACCATTAAGATATATTGTATACACAATGTAAGACAAGTTAAGTTGTAGGTATAGGTAATATGGTATGGTATTAAGATAGGAATGTATTTGTATATAGCAAGGTTTAATATGGTATAGGTATCATTGTGTCATATTAAGGTTCATAGGTTAATAAGTTAATGTAGGTATAAATATAATGGTATGCAGACTTGGGGTCAATTACAAATTTCCAATTACAATTACACTTTTAAATACATACATTTGTTCCACATAGCCTCAATTACAATTACAATTACATTTCAAGTCCCTCACCTCAATTACAATTACAATTTAATTTAATTACAATATAATTACAGTTTTAAATCGTAGTTACAACGTTTAAACATTAATGACTGAAATAGGTTATCACTGAGATGGCACCGCTCTGGCCTAAAAATTTTTCCTCCCATACTAAATATCCTTTCCACAGTTGCTGATGATGCATGAATGGCTAAATAAACGGTGGCTGGGTGAGCAAGCAGTATGCGTGTATAAAAGTCTATGGTTTAGTTATCTTCTTTGGTGTAAACGTGCCTCATCAGGTGATGCAATTTATCATTATTTTCAATTACAATTACAATTACAGTCCTTAGCTTGAAATACATGTCAATTACAATTACAATTACATAATTGTAATTGTAATTGACCCTTAAATTACAATTACAATTGTAATTGACCCCAAGTCTGATGGTATGGTATTATAAGATAAGAATGTACTTTCATAGCAAGGTTAATATGGTATACGTGTACATGTAGGTATCATTGTGTAATTTAAAGGTCATAGCTATAGTAGTAGAAATTAGAAGGGTACAGGTTATATAGTGTACATGTAGGTAGTAGTCATGTAGTGTTAGGTATACAGGTTATATAGTGTAGGTATAGTAGTATAAATTATAGATAACATGTAGTTATACCTAGGATATAGGTTATAGTGTAGAAATTAGAAGGTAGTTATAGGTATAGTGTAGGTATTGTAGTAGAAATTAGGAAGCAGGTATAGTTATCATTAGGTTATAGTATAGGTATTGTATAGTAGAAATTAGAAGGTAGTTATAATAGAAATTAAGAAACAGGTAGTTGTAGGATACAGGTTATATAGTATAGGTATAGGTTATAGATCTAGGTGTTATGATTTTTATTATTTAATTATTTATTTTATAATTAATGTTATTATTTTTTATAATTAAATTTTATTATCATTTTTTATGATTTATTATTATTTATTATTATTTTTTATTATTTTTACAACCTAGGGCCTCAGCAAGAGTGTTGGGCCACAGGTTTTTATTATTTTTGGGCAGCAATGTAGTGCCGCCTCCACGTGGCGCTGCCTGGGATCACTAGTGGCTACTACTGCTAGTGATGCTAAGAGCACTACATACAAGAAGAAGAATAACAATACTAACAGTAAGTTTGTGTAAGGAATTTAATATTATCATTGATAGGATCAAGCTGAAATAAAGATGAAATGTCAAGTGGAATGATACTCAAGACTGAAGCAAAAGATTTATAATACACTAGTTTTAATAGTTTTTTGAAAATAATCCTTTTAAATTTATTGAATTTATGGCAATTTGAACTGTCACTGCCTGTTACACAGCTATAATGCTGTGCAGTAATGCTAAATGAGCCACCAATGCATGCATACACACCACATTCCAGAATACTTTGTTGTGTACAAACTTAGAGCTGGATCTAAGTAAAATATTAATGTCAAGATGTGCATGTACATGCATCAAGTTTGTCATTAAAAATGAAGATTTCACCAACTGCAATCTATAGGAAGAGGAGAAATTCAATTTATCTCTAAATTCAGTCTCCTAGTAGTGGTAGGGACCAGACTTTATAGCCTCCTAGTTTTTATGCATAGTTTGTAAGTTGGTTTTGACTGCTGTACAGCACATTAGATTAGATGCACATTATTCATATCTTTCCTGTGAATGACGTTGCCGATTTATAATGATATTCATTGGGATACCGTAAATGGAAAATTTTTCAGGCCGCCATTGTGGAGGTATACTATCATTAGCTACAATGGACCGACAGGCTAAAAATTGTCAATTCTACTTCTCCACGTCACTCCAGCGGCTCTAAACAGTTGCAGACTACTGAA